TCCAAAATCACTGCAGATAGTGACTGCAGCCATGAAATTAAAAGACGCTTACTCCTTGGAAGGAAAGTTATGAACAACCTAGACAGCATATTAAAAAGCAGAGACATTACTTTGTCAACAAAGGTCCATCTAGTCAAGGCTATGGTTTTTCCAGTAGTCATGTTTGGATGTGATAGTTGGTCTATTAAAAAAGCTGTGTGCCGAAGAATTGATGCTTTTGAACTGTGGTATTGGAGAAGACTCTTGAGAGCCCCTTGGACTGCAAGGAGATCCAACCAGTCCATCCTAAAGGAGATCAGTCCTGGGTGTTCATTGGAAGGACTGATGTTGAAGCTGAAACTCCAATACTTTGGCCACCTGATGCGAAGAGCTAACTCATTTGAAAAGACCCTATGCTGGGAAAGATTGAGAGCAGGAGGAGAAGGGGACGACAGAGGATGAGATGGTTGGATGGCACCACTGACTCAATGGACATGGGTTTGAGTAGACTCTGGCAGTTGGTGATGGACAGGGAGGCCTGGCATGCTGTGGTTCATGGGGTCGCAAAGAGTCGGACACGACTGAGCGACTGAACTGAACTGAACTGAAAGTTTGATGGTCTGTCTGCCAGAGAAGCAGGCATGCTCGTGTCATGACTTGACGATCTTTTTTCTTTTTTTTTGACTTTTCTTTTTTAATTGAAATGTAGTTGATTTATAATATTATATTAGTTTCAGGTGTACAACAAAGTGATTTTTTTTTTGGTAAGCCATAGCTTATTTTATTTATTTATTTAATTTAGTTTTTAATTGGAGGAAAATTGCTTTGCAATGTTGTGTTGCTGCACAACAATGTGAATCAGCCATAATTATGCATATATCCCCTCCCTCGTGAACCTCCCTGCACTCCATCCCACCCCTCTAGGTCATCACCGAGCACCGAGCTGAGCTCTCTCTGCTGCCCAGCATCTTCCCACCAGCTACCTTTTTGCACATGACAGTGTATACAAGTCAGTGCTACTTTCTCCATTCGTCCCACCCTCTCCCTCCCCCAGCATGTCCACAACTCTGTTCTCTACATCTGCGTCTCCATTCCTTCCCTGCAAATAGGTTTGTCAGTATTATTTTGACTATCCTTTATTTCAAGATAATGAATGGGAATGAAGAACTAAAGGGAGAGAAGAAGAGCCACTTTACTGATGCTGGACTGATGCTGAGCTCTATGGTGAAGAATGCCTTAAAGCCCCAATGCACATCTTCCGTGTCTACTACCTGTGACCATCTGAATGGAGGAAAAAAAAAAAAGAGGGACAACCAGGTCCCAAGAGCAGCCCCTGCATAAACTGGAAGGAAGAGACAGCTGAGTATGAATTCACAACCTCTAAAACTGGGGACCCAATGCACATGGCCCAGTTGATGCTCTGTGCCAGGGTCAATCAGATATAGAGCTCTTTCTGGGGTGAGGGTGGGGTGGCAGTGAGGAAAGCAGGAAGGGAAATGCTGTGGGAATCTGATCCCTCCATACATTATGATTTATTTGAAGAAAAAAGGGAATGAAGGGAGAAAGGAAAGAAGGAATGGGAGGAGAGGGAGAGAGAAAATACAGAAGAACGTGATATTCAGAATCTACGATGTGTCAGGCAATATGCCAAACACTTGTAGGTTCACTATTTTACTTACCTTCTCAGTCTTTGAGTAGAACATACTACCTTCGTTTTTATGGACATGGAATTAAGATAGAAGAATCTTTTAAAAATGTGTTTATTTAATGGCTGTGCCAGGTCTTTGTTGTGGAACATGCAGCACATCTTTTAGTTGCTGCACACAGGATCTAGTTCCCTGACCAGGGATCAAACCCAGGTCCCCTGTGTTAGGAACTCAGAGTCTTAGCCACTGGACCACCAGGGAATTCTCAAGATAGAAGAATTTTAAAAAAGAAAAACCAACATTTGGACCTGGGTTCACCCACACCTCTTTCTACTTCTCATTTTTCAAGTGTCCATTTAGGTGGGACAGGTCTGTATGTTGGATAATGAAACCACAAGTTTCTTAGCATAGTTCTAATCCAGAGTCTTGTTTTTCACATCAGTGTGGCTAAACATAGGGCTTCCCAGGTGGCTCAGTGGTAAAGAATTCGCCTGCTAATGCAGGAGATGTGGGTTTGATTCCTGGGTCAGGAAGATCCCCTGGAGGAGAGCAGGGAAACCCACTCCAGTATTCTTGCCTGGTAAATCCGCATGGACAGAGGAGCCTGGCAGGCAGGCTATGGTCCATGGGGTCACAAAGAGTTGGATAGTACTGAGCACACACACACCACACTGGGGCAAAACTTACTGTCAGTTCAAGCTGGGGAGTGTCAAGGTCTCACAGAATTTCTAGTTATGTCAAATCTGGCTCTTTAATGATTGAGTGATTTCATCTAAGTTAAAGGGAAATGTCAGGTATTGCATTAATTTTTCTAATAGACAAGTATGCACGCAATCGGTCACTTTGGTTTTAACTTCTTGGCTAAGTCAAGAGGTGTCCTTAGGGACAGGAAATAGGGCATGGGGATTTCCCTAGGCTTGTGCAGTAAGGAGAAACTTTGGTGGAAAGGAATGGGAACATTCCGTAGAAGGTTTGTGCCAGTGTTTCTTGTTGCCCCTTTGTGGACCAGCATTTGGCAGATGGGAGGACTGGCCCTCTGGTGTAGTGTCCATCCCCCTTCCCTGGCCTTTAATTCTCAGGACTAGGACTGGAGGCAGGTGGGGTCTAAAGGTTAATGGCGGCAGTGCATGGAGCCAGAGCAGGAGTCTCAGAAAATTTTACAAGGGGACACTGCGTTAGGGCTGATGAGGTGTCTATAAAGTGCCGGGGGCCTGAGACAAAGAATGGTTCCAAGCTGCAGTAATAACTCACATAGAATCCAGAATAACTGGAGCAAGAAGCACTGACTCAGGATGGATGGTCTGGAAAAGTTTCACAGGTGGGATCCAGTGTCCTCTGGAGTTTACGCACGAGTGTGTCTGTGGGGACACCTGGTTTGCTCTTTTTTCCATGAGAGTCTTAGGAACAAAAGCTCAGTTCTTTTGAAGGCCACATCAGTTCACTCAGGTAAGGTTTTATTCTCTGAGACAGGGGCAAGTCATCACAAAGTCACCCTGATGACACCTTCTTTAAATCAGCATCCTCCAGATTTGTGAGGTTGGTTGGAAATGGGAGGAGAGAGAAAACAAATCAATAGGTAGCCAAGTTGTTCTCTGGGTCTAGGGGACTTCCTTCCTGTATTTGGGGAGGGGAGTGGTTTTCTGGGTGGAATCAGCATTGGATTCCTTGTTGCTTATCAGAAAAGGAATTTATTAATAAGAGGGAGGTTTACCAGATGTATGAGGAGCCAGCTGCTCATTTCCAGAAGTATTTAGTCAAATCTGCTAGAATTTTAAGGTGCTGGACCTGTACTTAGAAATACAGATTCCCTTCTCTGAACTTCACTTTCCCCAGTTGTGAAATAGCAGGTGAGTTGGCCATCTCAGTAAGAACTGAAGCCTCACAGTTAGTAGGAATGTCCACAAAAGATCTCAAAAGCTGTGCTGCACGGTTGAACCTTAAAAATGAGCTCAGTGAAATCAACCAGTCACAAAAGGACAAGTACCAAACGGTTCCACTAATGTGAGGCACCTAAAATAATTAGATTCATAGAGAACAGAAGTAGAATGGTGGCTGTCAGGGATTGAGGAGTTACTGTTTAATTGGCAAAGATGCTCAGTTTGGGAAGATGAATGGTGCCAATGGTTGTACCACAGTGTGTATGTACTTCCAGACACTGAACCATAAACTTGAAAGTGGAAAAACCAATAAATTTTATGCTGTATACATTTATCACACACACACAAAAGCTGAGCTGCCTACAGTGGGGCCACAAGGTCAAGAAACCCAGTTTGCAGAACTGAGACATGTTAGTGGTTCAATGCATAGGTCAACCCTTGTCCTAGACAAAGCTAATCATGGCCTAAAGGCCACTTAAATTTTAAAAATAGTGGTAAAATCTTTTTCTCCTAAAAAGCAAAACTTTCTTATAGTCCCACTACATTAAACAAGCAACAGAGGGATTGTAGCTTAGTGGGGTGACGGGCTGTGAACAAAAGTCACAGTTGCTCAGAGCAGGATGCAATCGGCATTTTGTGCTCCAGTCTAGTGAACCAGAGGGCAGAGGCCACCGCTGCCATATGATGCTGGACCCCAAACATTCAGAGTCCCATGTAGTAAGGGGCATATGAGAGGCTTGTGTCTACAACCCTTGGTGTGCAACCTGGGTGTCCATCAAGTGTGTCTTTCTGGCAGCAAGGTGGCAAGACCAAGATGCAGTGAACCCTCCCTTTGGCCTCCTGTAGGATGTCCTGAGGAATCATCCCCACTTGGAAACCTTTCATCTGGTCAGTTGCCTTTCTGCTTCCCTAATAGGTACCATCAGCATCAGCCAGAGATGACATCCTGCGTGGTCCTCTTTAATGGACACTCTGGATGAATGAAGACCCTTTGGGCTGCCAGTGACAGAAGCTAAATCCAAAGTGGTTTAACCGCCGCCCCTCCCCCCCCAAAGATGTATTGACTTATATAACTGAAATGTCACGTACAATTGGCTCCAGGAGTTCAAATGTCATGAACTCACTTTTTCTCTCTCTTTTTTCTCTCTCATACTCTGTGATTTCTTTCCCATTTGTTTATTTCTCTCTCAGTCATGCCCTCTCCACATGGTGGACTCTTGGTAACAATAGGCTTATGTCATGCTTTGGGCAAGTTTGTTTTTCTCAAAGCGATTTACTCTCAGGCACATCCATGAGCTACCGTCAGGGGCCGGGGGCGGGGGGGCGGGGTGGGAATCGTGTGATCTGATTGGCCAGGCCTGGACCGCCTCTGAAGCCAGAGGGTGGAGCCAGCATCATCCCTCCCCCTAGACCCGCCCGGTCATGGGCTGAGTGGGGGTGGGGTGAGGGAAGGAGTTGGTCCCCGAAGGAGAAGCAGGCACCATTACCAGAGCAGGTGATGGAATCAGACCAAGCGCCTCTCACGACGTGTGGAGGTGGGCGAGAGCGCTGCGCGTGCGTGGGCTGCTGCCGCCTTGTCCTTCCACAGGTGGTGCCCCCCCCCCCGCCCCCGCCGTCTCATTTGGCTCTTCTCCTTGCCCCCTGCTCTCTTTCCACTTCAGGGGCCAGTGACCCCATTTTAGGTCATCTGAACTGGCCCGAAGACCTCCCTCCAGACCAGCCTTCTGGTGCCGCCCTCTGCAGTCAGATGCTGCCCCAGCCCAGCCCAGCTGACCCTTGAGAGCTGCTCAGGACAGGGCCACAGGGACAGCGCCCTAGTTTGGGGGAACTGGCCTCTGGGGAGACTTCAGGCTCACCTCCTTTGCCCTGCCAAGACTCAGAGCCTTAAACTTTTCTTCCCCTTCCAGGTTATTTTCTTCCTTTGTCAGGTCCTGGTTGTGATGTGCGGCGTGTGTTGTTGGGGGCGTCGGTTTGTTATTTTCACTCTGCTCTGTGCACTGACACTTCACAGAGGTGTGGGCACAGTCTAAAATAATGATCTCCCCGTGGTCAGGAGAGCCTGGCCCCTCCGCAGGGGTGGAGCGGCTCTGGTCTGCGGGAGAGGCTGGGGCTTCACTTGGGCCCTAGTGTGGGAGGGGCTGATGGAAAAGCATTCTGCTGGAAATGCAGAGAGCCTGGGCTGGAAGGGAGTGAAGGGGGAAAAGTGCTGGGTCTTAGAGAGGCTGGTCTTCAGAGGGGGCACCCAGCCTCTGTCCCCTGCCCCCGTCTCCCTGAGGTGAGCTCAAGTTCATCGAGGGCACCAGGCCCTGAAGAAACCTGGTATCTCATCTAACCAGCTTCTTGATATGGTGAGGCTGATTTACCAGGGAGGATCTGGGTGGGGAGAGTCTTGGGAGCAGAAGCTGGAATCCCAGGTCATAAATGCTCACACATGAGCCCCCACCTCGCTAGTCTCAAGGTTCATTCTATGATGCAAATGTGGTCCAATGTCCATGCTGGTGGCATCTGCTCTGCCAGATCCAATTTTTGTTGCAAGCAGTTTCCTGCCCCTAAAGGGGTCTCTCCTTATGTCCTTACCTGAGGCATTTCCATGGTTACTGTCAAAGGGTCTTTCTCCATGGTGGGCCATATGCCTGCCATGCCTGGACAGAGGAGGTCTTGGGGCTCTTTGAAGATAACCCCCATTTGCCAGCTTCTCACAAGGCCTCCCTTCTATGTCTGGTTCTAGCCATGGCAATTCAGTCCATTTATAACTCAGTGGTATCTTGTGTGTGCTGTGCTAAGTCTAAGTCTCTTCAGTCGTGTCCAACTCTGAGACCCTATGGACTGTAGCCACCAGGCTCCTCTGTCCATGGGATTCTCCAGGCAAGAATACTGGGGTGGGTTGTCATGCCCTCCTCCAGGGGATCTTCCTGACCCAGGGATTGAACCTGTATCTCTTATGTCTACTGCATTGGCAGGTGGGTTCTTTACCACTAGCGTCACGTGGGAAGCCCTTGTTTAACATGGTACAGATACCCAGTTTACGACGAGGCTTCTTGGATTATAAAGAAAGATGGTAAAGTGTCAGGATGAGAATGGACGTGAGCTCTAAAGTGAAATGGAAAAGGATGTAAGTTCTGGCTCCACCCCAAGTGGAGTGGCGTAGTCTGAGTTATTCATCTTCTACAGTCTCAGCTTCTTCATCAGCACATTGTAAAGACAGAATTGTCTTCTTTTGAGGGCTGTTGCGAGGATTAAATGAAGCAAACATTTATTCCTTCAGTAAGTATTTACCGAGTGCTGAGTACACGTCGGACACTGTTTTAGCTCTTTGCTGCACGGAAAAAATAACAGTTCCTACGGCTGTACTGCATGTAATGCACATGAACGGACTTAGCGAGCAGCAGATCCTCCATGAAAGAAGGAGGGGCCCGGTCATTGCTTTTGGAAGGGTTTCCATTCCATTGATATCTGTTCGAGGCCCTGATGCCTTCCCACTCAGAGACTGGACAGCACAGGCTTGCCACTAGGTGTGGGACAGAGTCTGCATGCATGTGTGCATGCGTGCGTGCATGCATGCGTACTCAGTTGCTCAGTCGTGTCTTTGCGACCACAGTCTTTGCGACTGTAGCCCCCCAGGCTCCTCTGTCCATGGGATTCTCCAGGCAAGAATACTGGAGTGGGTTGCTGTGCCCTCCTCCAGGGGATCTTCCTGACTCAGGGATCAAACCCACGTCTCCTGCATCTCCTGCTTTACAGGCAGATTCTTTACCGCTGAGCCTCCAGGGAAGCCCTGGGACAGAGTCTGCAGCACCCCTAACTCCAGTGTGCAGACAGCCCTGGCCAACCAGAGGGCAGCTTCCCTCGACCTCCCTAAGGTGGTGGGGAGAGGGAAGTGGATGGGAGGGGCCTCCAAATTCCGAGAGAAGGAGAACCCAGTTGACTAAGATTGAAGATTCCTTTTGGGTTTGAAGCAATGGAGCAGCGCCTGGGAGGAGGTAATGCCCTGTTTCTGGCCTACACTTGCTTCTCACCCTGATCATCTTCACCTCTAAGGCCTTACTTCGGAGGTAGACTCTCTGGACCTGCCCTCCCCTCTTTCCACTAGGAAGGGAGCAGAGATGCTAAGGGGTGACGGAGAAATGGAGACTGTGAGTTGCCAATGGGGCAGGTTGGCAAGGAGGACACTGCCTTCCTAGGACAGGATTTTCCTGTTCTTTTCATGTGACTCCGAATGGTCAAAGCTATGGTTTTTCCAGTAGTCATGCATGGATATGAGAGATGGACCATAAAGAAGGATAAGCACTGAAGAACTGATGCTTTCAAACTGTGGTGCCAGAGAGGACTCTAGAGAGTCCCTTGGACAGCAAGGAGATCAAACCAGTCAATCCTAAAGGAAATCAGCCCTGAATATTCACTAGAAGGACTGATTCTGAAGTTGGAGCTCCAGTACTTTGGCCACCTGCTGTGAAGGGCCGACTCATTGGAAAAGACCCTGATGCTGGGAAAGATTGAAGGGAGGAGGAGAAGGGGATGACGACAGAGGATGAGATGGTTGGATGGCATCACCGACTCAATTGAAGTGAGTTTGAGCAAGCTCAGGGAAATAGTGAAGGACAGGGAAGCCTGGCGTGCTGCAGTCCATGGAGTTGCAAAGAGTCTGGCAGGACTGAGTGACTGAACATCAACATTAAAAAAAGGAGGCAAGGGGGCAGCGCTCTGGCCCAGGAGCACTGGGCTTCTCCCTCAGAGATCAGGCCTCTCCGTTGCCCTGTGTTGTCTCCCTGCTATGGTCAGAAATTCAATTTGCAAAGATTTTCCCTGGTCTGGGCTCTGGCTCCTTTGCCTGGTCTCTGGCTCCTGCAGAAACCGGCCCCTCCCTTCCCTCTCTCCTTTCAGATTTCTTGGGTGAAATTGATTCTCTTTAAACCTCTCACCCCAATGCAGCTCAAAACAGTAGGACCAGTGAGCGTTTTCTTCAGCAAACTGTCTTCCCCATCTGATCAGCAGTGACTCTTGAACCCTCAGATCTGGAGCATATGTGGGTGTGCCCGCGTGGATGTATGTGATGATGTATATCAAGGGGAGGAAGAACTGAAGGAAGGAGCACAGCCCTCCTGACAGGGGTGAATGTGATGTTCCCAGACTCAGCCCCTTTTCCTCCAGGACTGGCCAGGGCAGGATGGAGCAGTGGGCTCTGCTGTGATCATCTGCGTGGGCTGCCCTTTCCCCCTGGAGACTGATGGAGGCAGACAGAGGAAGTTTCCATCCTCAGAAGATGAGGAACAGATATTTCTAGTGAAAACCCAGGCTTGTCATATAAAATTCCTCTCAATGTCTCTCTCTTTATCTCTCAGATGTTGTTGATGGGGTATTTCTAACGTCCGTGCTATTGCTGTCTTTTTGGGTCCCACAGTCCTGAGCATCTTACCTAGACGTGCAGGATCCCATGTGCAGCTTGTTGCATTAGGTTCCCAATAGGACCCTTTTCCTCTTCTGTGATCCAGTCCTCCAACCTTCCAGGGTTTCAGGAACCTGCCACATTCTTGCTCACCTGTGCCTTGACTGAGTCCACCTTCCCACCTCCTCCATCCTTCCTACATATCTCATTCCTCTCCTCATGCGAGATGCTGGTAGCGTTGAGCTCTCTCCATGATGTCTCTGTGGACCACCATCTCCATCAAGGTCTCTGCTAGTAATCTGCCTCGAGCCTGCAACCTTCGGTTGTCAGATGGGGCAGCATGCATTTTGGTGCCTTACAACTTACTCATTGTGTGATGTAGACCCAGTTTTGTTTTCCATTGTTAAGTTGTCTGAGCCTCAGCTTTCTCATCTGGAAAATGGAAATCAAAGCACCCACCTTATAGAATTATTATAAGAAGTCCATGAGATAACATGCGTGAAGGCTGTAGAATGGAGACTGGCATATAGTTACTAGAGGATATGTATCCTTTCTCCAAAGAGATTGTAAAGTTCTTGAGAGAAGATACTGGATCCTATTTCATCTTAGTGTTGCTAGAGCCTAGCACAAAACTTACTACAGAGTAAGTGCTGTGGACTGGCTGTATGTGCATGCATGCTCAGTTGTGTCCAACTCTTTGCAACCCCAGGGACTGTAGCTCACCAGGCTCCTCTGTTCATAGGATTTTTCAGGGAAGAATACTAGAGTGGATTGCCATTTCCTCCTCCAGGGGATCTTACCAACCCAGGGTTCAAACCCAGGTGTCCTGTGTCTCCTGCATTTGCAGGTGGGTTCTTTACTCATTGAGCCACCCAGGAAGTCCCCCTGATGCTTCGTATCCACCTCAAGTTGTTTGTTGAAATCCTAATCCCCAATGTGATGGAATTAGGAGGTGAGGTTTTGGGGAGGAGATTAGGTTATGAGGATGGAGCCCTCATGAATGGCATTAGTGCCCTTTTAAAAGAAACCCCAGAGAGCTCCCCCACCCTTTGTACCATGTGAGGACACAGTGAGGAAACAGCCGTCTATGAACCAGGAAGTAGGTCCTCACCAGCCACTGGATTTTAGAATTCACAGCCTCCAGAATGCTCAGAAACAGATGGTTGTTGTCTAAGCCACCCAGTCTATGGCTGTTTGTCACAGCAGTGATACCTCAAAGTTATGATCATCAAATATCTCTCCAGGGGCTTCCCTGGTGGCCCAGTGGTTAAGAGTCTGCCTGCCAATGCAGGGGACAGGGATTTAATCCTTGCTCCAGGAATATTCCACATGCCGCAGGGCAACTAAGCCCTCAAGCTGGAACTACTGAAGCCCTCACGCCCTAGGGCCCATGTTCT